TTTCACTTCCTATGAGGCACCATGCAAGCATGTTCGGGATGCGGTTTTCCCTCCGAGAAATGCAAAATGTTGCTTCAAGATTGGGTTTCATCGGCACCTGAACTAGTGATAGGGAGTGAAGTAGTCGAACGTGTAGACCGCTTCACTTATCTTGGGAGTCTCATCAGTGCTGATGGCCTGGTGACTGACGAAATCTCAGCACGGATACAGAAGGCTCGATTGGCTTTTGCCAACCTGCGTCACTTATGGCGTAGGCGAGATATCCGTTTGCTGACTAAAGGACGAGTGTACTGTGCAGTGGTTCGCTCCGTCTTACTTTATGGCTGTGAAACATGGCCAGTGAGAGTAGAAGATATTCGTAGGTTACTGGTCGGGATCAAAGGTGTCTCCGAAGCATTGCTCGAGTATCGTGGGACAGCCGAGTAAGCAATTCTGTTGTTAGGAAACGACTACTAGGTAAGGATGGCAGGTCACTAGATGAAGTAGTAAAACTTCATTAGTTGAGGTGGTCGGGACATGTGCTACGAATACCTAACCACCGACTGCCTCGACGAGCTATGTTTTGTGATGTAGGAGTAGGTTGGAAGAAAGTTAGGAGCGGCCAGACCAAAACATGGCAGAAATCCATGAAGTCACTGACATGTGGACTGAGTCATGTTAGTAAATGTGGACTACATGGTTGGGGTCTGCAAGATGGTAGTAATCGATGGTTAGAGACCTTGAATGACATGGCTCAGAATCGTTTGCAATGGCGCAGGTGCATTTACTCGTTGTGTTCTATGAAATTCTAACCTGAATTAATCATCACCTCAATCTTTCTCTTTCTAAATTTACCTCACTGAATTATACTTCTTGAATAACATCGAACCCAAATCTCTCCGATTACTTTTAATACTTTTACTACCTCTACTACTATGGGATTTGCATTGACAATTGCGTCTCTGTGCCAATGTGGTATGGCAACTTGAACTGACGTACTTACGTGCAAAGTTCTACGTTGCTGCTGATGACGAACTGTCCATTCAAATTCCATAGTAGTAAAGGTAGTAAAAGTATTAGCAGTAGTCGGAGAGATTAGGGTTCGAAGATATTATTCAAGCAGTATAATTCAGTGAGATAACTTTAGAAAGAGAAAGATAGATATGATGAGGAATTCAGAAGGTTATGACTTGAGAACACAAGGAATGTATGCATCATTGACATTGCTTTATATATATGTATATATATATATATATATATATATATATATATATATATATATATATATATATATATATATATACTGGATTCCGATAAATCGCATACGTCAGATTGCTTGTTACACTTAGTGAAAGAATTTCAGCCTTGTGTGCTGTCACGGGTATGAGCGCGGATGTCACTTCTCGGTCACCCATACCGTGGAAGGGTATTTTTTGATGAACCTGTAGAAAATCGGATTAGCGGTGGTCTGAGCGACCTGGGAGCATGACCGCAGAGCCCAAGGAATAACTGCGTCAGGTTGGTTACGCACGGCCTTTTTATGGTGTTTGCTCTGCTCTTTAAGTATCCTTACCGCCGGTAACGGAAATCCGTGAGGCAGGGTGAGGTGTGACATTTTTAGGGTCGATTTTACCTAACCCCTTCCTACCTTGTGAGAAAGCAGCATCGCTGAAGATGCTGGTTGTCCGAGGGAACTCACAGCCCTCTATAGTCAGTAGAACGACTTCTCCCCCAAATCTTGAGTTGCTGTTGCTAATTTCCGTTCTTTAATTGACCTGCCTAGCATGGTAGAACCTAAAGCAACACACGTCCCAGCCAATGTAGCTCGGTCGGGTCATTATCATAGGCAAACCTGACCACCACATCAAGGTAGTAGCTACAGTCTGGTCAGAGAGAATGAGGAAAGCACTTAAATATGATGAGTACATTTTATACCATAGGCTAGGGTTTGAGACTTAATAGAAAGTTATACATGAATTAAGTTTTTTTAGAGATGTATTGTCAATTTTCTATCTATTTATTTTATAGTGAGAACAAAAGGTAGTTTGCAGTTGTTCACTTTAATTGTAAAAGTATACAAACACTCAAATGATGGGGAAAGTCTACTTCATAATAAAATCGATGGCAGGATTAGAAAGTGTATCATACATAGCTAAATGACCAAAATGTAGAGGGGAATATGAAGAAAGCACCGGAAAACTATAGTTAATACAAGATCAATTTGAAGCAAGGATAGAGTCCTATGAAAACTGTATTTTAATGTTTATGAAAAAGGCTATATCGAGACTGCTGTTAACTGGCGTTCTGAGTCATATCTGCAAGTCATACTTGAACTATATGTCATTAGAGTGGCTTATATGCTATCATACAGAAATACAATACTGTCTAAATACACAAAATTGAAGCATTCATTCATGTGACATTCACAACACTGTCACCTAACCTTTTCAGACCTGTTTTCAGAAAGTTATGCAAGTTAAAACATTTAGACGAAAACATGCTTCTAAAGAAATAAAATTTCACAGAATACAGAACTAAAAACCGGAATATTCTGGTTTGTAGTACCAGATCATACTTACTCAGTTAACTGATAATCAGCTCCACGTATAAAATGTAGTCGATCTAATGGAACACAAATTGAACGGAACATTCCTTTTATAACAGCTTCATAATATTTGGTACGAAGACAAAGTAAAGACCATGGTGCTTTCATATTGTCTAGATATGCATGTAAATCAGCAAAGAGCACAGTGACTTTTGCACCTGCTTGTAGCATATCAGCTAATTTAATAATTGGGACGAAATAGGCTATATGCGGTCTACCAGTTGTTGCAGTACCCCAATACACAGATATTGATGAATTTGGTTTCTTAAGCAATTCCTGAAGTTCATCATCACCTACTACCTCCTAACATGTAAAAGGGAAACATAAATGAAATATGAAAATAATTTAAATAAAAATCACTGAAATAAGATGAATAACTCTATGGAATATTTTGCTGAAGGTCAAAAGTTAGTCTTAAACTAATAGAAAACAAGAATTTCAGAGAATATGTACAGTTTTATACACTAGTAGTAAAGACTAACCTGCAAATTCCGGACAATTAACGTATACTTATCTGTTTCCATACCAGGATAAATTTTCAATGTTTGAGTATTAACAATGTGGTTGACGTACAAGTGAGGAATAAAGTGAGGATTCTGAAAATTCACACTTCTGGCGGACTATAAACAAGTGATCATTCTAATTGATAAACAAAGAAAGATTAAAAAAATTAGGATAGTTAGTAACTTATGTTAATATAAAGGGGCAACGATCAGAATTTCGAAACAAACGAACAGGTCTCTAAAAAGGGTTATTTTATGGTTTTGAACGACAATTTCTAGTGAATAGAAATACTTGATCCAGGGATAATTTACACACTTGTTGACGATAAAGTTTTCAAAGTATTACCCTGTATAAAACAAAATTTCTTTCTAGAACATCATATATGACGAGCAACGACAAGACAATAATCTGTGTGACCTTACACCAAAGTCAGAAAGATCATGTTAATTTTGAATATTATATTGATATCCGAAGCTAATGTTGTGACACAAAACAACATACAAGTGCCTACAAAGTGCGATCAGCCAGTCAGCAAAAACGAAGCCATATCACATTAGCACAGAGAAAGTGAATTGTCAGGTCAAATCCCAGAGTGATAAAGGTTTCAGCAGTATATAGTCCAAAACATGGATTTATAGAAACAAAATGTTTTCGTGATATCGAAGAATATTTGAATAATTCTACTTGCAAACACAAACAACCAAGTAGGAGTAGTAGTATTTCAATCCCAACCTCCTGACTTTGGATTATAAAGAGTTAAATTCCACCAAAATGTTAACTGGGAACCTCCCGAAAAATTCATCAGATTTCCCAAAACACGGGAGATGCGGATAAAAAATTCTGACCGAAGTGTATAGAATACAAAGTCTGACACTTCGTAAGAGAAAAGAAATATCCTGGTTTATTTGCATCGTTTGTCGAGCTTTACTTCCAGGATAAATTCGCATAAGCAAAGCTTTCTATCCAGGAACCAGTTATCACACAATATCAACCGTACGACACTTAACACAACTACAGCAGTTATCACTCTTAAACTTGAGTTGGCATTAGCTTGCCTGCTATAACTCCTAAGACCTACCTGAGCACAAAATACAGATTACGCAGGTGGGAAGTGCGTAACGACTGTTACCGAATCCCCGCCTTGCTCTTCCGATATTCAATATCAAGCATGTTCCTCAAGTAAAAACCAGTTGAATTCTTTGCTGTTTCTTATTGTTGTTTTGGTGTGAATCAGTTTATTTCATAGTTCCCCGTAGATGGTATTACAGCCATTTGACTGTATTAATTCTAGTCAGTTTACTTTTATCTATGAATTTGGATATCTTGAGATGTGGGTGCGTTTGTCTCGGAGAAGTCGCATTTCTAGATATCTGCAGTTCTCACATCATCAGGCTGGAGATCAGTTAGTCGCACTGTGCTAGCACCAAATAAAAGACCAATATTTCATTAAAAGTTGATATAAAATTTTGAAGATAGAGTGGACACCTTTTGCTAGTATACTGATTCAGGATCACAGAGCCTATGCTGTCACATCCTTAAGACCTTGACCGACTCAGTGATTCAAGTTTCATTAGTACCAACCTGGCTAGTAGGTCGGGGACTCCATAGCCTATCAGCTTGCACTTAAGTTGAGTGATGCCATTTTAACTTTTGAGAGAGTAAACACCCTTTTTCACGAACCTAAGGAGATATTTCGGGTTTGCTTGTTTCATAGCTTCTAGGTTTGTCTGGAACTATCTTCAAATAATGGTGGCAACTGTAGGCCTGATAACCCCGTCTTATCCGAAATGGCTCGTTTAATTAGCCTTAACACATAGGTTAATTGGACCGACTCCCCTCTGGTTGGAGATAACAGAAAACGTTGTGATTAAACGAATGGGAGTTTCGAAAAGCTTAAATGTCCCATTCCTCTGTACCTACCATGCATTTCTGCTACATCTAAGCAAACAGAATCATATGATTAGTCTAACTGTGGTTTAATTTATTCCCTTCAATTCGATCCGACAAATAATTTGTCGTCCGGATTTTTCTTCACACAGTGTCAGGATGTTTTCGTCCTTCAGTGACCGTATCCAACTAAATTAGTTAATGAACCAACTACTTCGGCTGAAATGAAATAATTTACGGGGAATGGATTGGTGTGTTTCTAACAAACCGAAGTAGTACAATACCTCACGAACTGTGGCCAGAATTCATGTGGTATCTTGACATGGAGTCTGCCGAATTATTCGGATACGTGGATAACTTGTTACTTATGGGTGGCTACGAAGAGAACTTCCCCACTGACAGACTCATAATTACAAACTTTACGGACGTTGACTGAAAACAATTTGTTAGGGAGGTGTCAGTATTTTAGCGAGGTAACTTTAAGGATCTAAAACTCATGTAGAAGAAGCTGGTGATTTTAAAATCTATGCACCCACATGCTACGTCACCTATGTAAGCTAATGGCTAACCATATTTCACTTAAATATACCTATATCACTGAAAGGTAATGGTTTCATTCGAAGATCTTTAGCGCTAACGTTTAGACAAAATCTAATTTAACCGTTTTCTTACTCTGTAATCAGTCCAGGTTTATCTACAACTATCGATATATTGCCCGACCTTGATAACATACGCCTAGTATATGTGTAAGCTATTATTTGTTTCATTATATCGTCGTTAACTTTTGTTTCGCGATTACCAGTCGAATCGTAGTCTGGTAGCCGAATAATGAGTGATTTTTAGTCAATGTAACAGAGATTAAAATATCCAAGTGTTCTACTTTTCATCTCATTCTACCTTTGGCTGTACGTTATGTTCTAAAAGCCGAAAGTATTCGATAAGTTAGCAGTTGCTCTATGATTGTCATAAGGTTTTTGACTCCAACTTGTCATGGTGAACTACTTGCGTTAAATGAAGAATAGAAAACTGATAATCCGCATAGGATGACTTTCAAACTACTTTTGAGATAGTGTTACACTAATACATCCTAAGCCTAATTTGAAAGATATGGAAGATGTCACGTATATTTGGGATTTGTTGTCACTACTGTATACTTACGCCACATGATCTACAAATTTATTCTTTAACGTAGACATGTCCTCAAAAAATCCTCCCCTCTTGAGGGTAAAAATAGACTTTGTCTACCTTTTTGGTCGCCTAGGAATAATAACAATGATAATAATGATTTTGTTCAACATTAAATGTTTAGCGAAATATAGAATTTTCATATGCCCTCTTAAATATATTGTGTGATTGATAGACATAACTGATGTTTTGAAACAAACAGAAAGAGATGAATTTTCAAAATATTTTGACACTCGGAAAAGAGTTGTAGTAGAACACTTCTACGAAGAAAACGTGATTGGTGAAAAAAATAAACATTTATTATGGTACTCGTTTTGTTTAACAGTACTAACAACACTTTCTTGCACGCAACGTTCTTTTCGCGTTGCTGCCATTTTTCATAACTTGCTGCTTTCTACGTAATGCCTACTTTCTCCTGTAAATCAATACTGAAACATGGATTTATTACTATATTATGTGACGGGATAGTAAAGAATATTTAGTGGTGATCATAGTCGTTATCGACTCGGTCAACACTAAAGAGTAACCCAGAGATTCAAGCAGGCCATCTATTTTACACCAAGTCTGCCATTATCATGCTTTGATTTTTATTAGTAACTAGTTGTATACTGCCTGTAATGGTGGTAAACTGTATGGATGTATCAAGGTTTGTGAACTGTTTGGTGTATATATGCAGTAAGCTGCATATATAAATGATTCGCTGTCAGAAGACTACATAGGAAGTAGTTTAACAAGGTCTGAGTTGAAGATGTAATAGATATGTTCTGTATCTTCAGTAAATAAAGCTATCTATAGATTATAATTCATAACCTTTCACTTATTCATAAAATGTGTGCTACAAAACCTATTTACGATTGAGTATATTCTTTTGATAATTACAGTGTAAATGATAAGCTATCTGCCACAAACTTCGGCGTTATTGAACACTAATTACTCAGAAACGTCCATCTACCTGAACTAGTTTACCAAATGATTAGAACAAATACTCTATGTTCACGGAGTGTGAAAGTTGTGCATTCATTATGTTAACCAATCCATTCAGATTTCTTAACGCTTCTATAAGTCTTCATTGGACAGTAAAAGCTTACAATTTTCTCATCCTAGCTCATGAAAATAATAATGACATCTGACAATATTATGGCTGCGTAATTCTTTGAAAGCTTGATACCTTTCAATCACTTTTGACACATGATATCCCTGCTCTTACCAAGCATGTCATGTATTGTAACTCTGAAGTCATGTTGAACAGAAAACTAGTACGACAGTTTTATAGTTGAAACAACAAAATGGTTTATGCCATGTCTCTGCGATGACTGTTGAAAATCTATGTAAAATTATTTGTGTTACTGGTAAAATCAGTACGACCATGGGAGCTTGTAGCAGCTTCTCTATCTGAACAACCATATGAATTATTAAAGTTTTTGAAAAGATTAACTGTTTCAAATTTTTCTTATACTTATCAGTCATATAATTATCTTCGTGAAGTTTATTTGTGTAATCTTGGACATCTTATATATGCGAGTATGTAAATCATGTTTATCCATTTCCTGTACTTTTTATACCACTTATAAAAGCTAAACAATCTCAAAAGTATTTTATTCATTGTCTTACTGGGCTCAAATGTTTTATATATTGGATGTAACTTTCACTGGCCTGCCTAACGTTCAACACAAGCTTGCCTGAAATATACTGACTCCAAATAAAGATCGTGTTCGACCTTATCGTTGAAATATCATGATAAACTTCTCCTCAAGACCATGGAGAAATATAATTTTTGATTATAAACTCATAAATGTTTGAGTTCTGAATTAGAGAATAAATGGAGCTGGGAAATTTCTCAAAACTACAGTATATTGCAAGACTTAAACGTTTGTCAAAAACAGTAAGTACGACCTTCGGAATTAGGGCTTTAAGCCGGATAAATTGAGAATACTCAGCAAACAAAGTC